TACTCTAGTGTTGTCTGAATCTGGTCACTTGGTGTGCTTTTCCCGGGCCTCCTGGGATGTTCTCTGGTGCAAGCCAATGTCAGTTGCTGTCCCTGCATGGCCCTTGGCAACTTGACTTAAGCTCAGCAGGGCCTCTGTAGCCCAGAGGCTGGGACTGCCTTGTGTCTCGCACCTCGAGTGTCCCTGCTCTCCCTTCACCCATGGAACTGTGCTCTTCAGGGGTATCCGGGACCTGGCTGGGGTGATTTAAGCAGCCTTGTATTGGAGGTGGTGCCCATAGCTTGTAGGAGTGGAGACAGAAACTTTGTCTCCTTACTAGAGCTGCACTGTTTGAGTTCACTGGTAAGCTTGTCTTTGGTTTCCTGTTCTGCAGTTGAAGGGCCCAGCACACATCCACCTGTCTCCTGGACAGAAGTCCACCCCAGAGACACAGCTCTGCCTGGCTCCCTGGCAGCCCATCACCACCACACCAAGTAAGAGGGAACACAATGTAAAAAATTCAGCCTTGCTTGGCACTCTAGTTTTTCCATGTGGCTGGCCCCCACAGGGCAGGGCCTCTGCCCAGGCTCCCACTTGGCCAAAGGACAGAGTCCCCTGTACCACCATCAGACTAAGCAGTATGGGGCACAGATTTCCAGCCCAAGACCATTCCCCTTCGCCTACAGTCACAGAAGAATGGGGCTGACCTAGCATTCCGCAGGTGAGGGGAGGGATGCCACCTGTGTGTTCGAGGTGGGAAAGACCAATCCTCTTTCCCAAGACACACTGTCCAGCCCCTTTCTGGATCTCTGCTCAAAGTTCTTCCAGGTAATAGAGGGCCCCTCACCCTCTATTGCTGGGTGTACCAATCAGACTCCTCTGGGGCTGGATCTCTGTGGTGAGGCCTCTCTTGCAGATACAGATCAGAGGGAACTTCCTAGGCTGGTACTGTAACAAAGAAATCACTTTTTGTCTGGGATGGTGTGGGCGGAGTCTCCCCAGTGGATCAAATCCCCACTGATTCCCACAGTCTGATGCTACAAGGGCTCCCCTTCCCTTCTCTGTTGCTCTGGATTGGTGGTCTCTGCATGGGACTGAGACCCCATGCTCCTAGTCTAGTGGATAGGGGCTCTGCTACTGCATAATCCTTCCAGCTTCTCAGCCTGTGACTTGGCTCACCTCTTCACACCCCTGTCCTTCCTCTGGGATGTGGGAATCCACGGCGATATTGCTGAAAGCAGTTTGTGTTCTGGAGTGCTCTCTGTGTTGATCCCTGGACACTATTAATCTTTTGACCTACAAGACAAACTCAGGATTCAGCTCAGAGAATATTTTTCAGTGGCCTACTTCAACCATGCCACCTTCATCCCCGTGCAGTCCCCTGTCCTTAAATCTTTAAAGGTGTATAATGTGGATGAGCGATGATGTTTATTCTCCAGAGGATCATTGAGTACAAATAACTGGAAAGGGGCTTTCACTTCTGGAAATGAAGCAGTCTTGGTTTCCCAGGGACCATTTCTCATGATCAGCTCTTTAGGGTCAATTCCTATTTGTACTATTTCACTAGCAGATGCAGGTGATATTTAGCCTTCCCCAGATTTTTTTCTTAGAGAGATAGTTGCAAAATACCATGTTATTAAAGTAAATGAAAAAGAGTTTTTGACAGATGGAGATAATTCTGTAAGTTTACAGACTGAAAAATTTTATGATGTTTTAGGAAAACACTGTAGTGGAGTTTTGGGAAAAAATGACAGAGTATGGAATCTGAGCCAGTAGTGGCCAGGAAACAGGAATGCATGCCCTGA